AATTTAACCATTCCAACTCAGCTACTAAAATTGAAAAAGCAAGACTCAAATAATTAAGATGATCATAATTTTCTTAACTACAAATTATGCAAGTCCAAAATGGTAGCAATGAAATTTTGTTGGCCAGCAATATATAATCTAAAACTACATACAAAATGCATTTGAGTTGTTAAGGACGAAACTCCAAGCTTTAACCACCAAAACACAATTACTAATCCTTAGTTCAACCTCATCCACTACAATTTCATAGCATGAAAGATTCCATGATGCTGCAATTCATCATTTTTACCTAATCTGAGAGTAAATTGCATTAACCCTAACAATCCAAAACCAACCAGCAGCAACTGCCAACACTGATAAGCAATCCAAACCTAATTCATGCCCATTTAACGCTATTGAATCCAATTAAAATTAATGCTTCAGCATTAAGTGTTCCAAAACATTAATTACCGTCATCCAAAAATGGATCACTGCGAGATATCAGAAGAGCAAGGATTAAGTACCATAACCCAAGTAATCACTTCCTTAAATCATAGCCCTTTTCTCCAACTCATGCTCTCTCCACTAGATCAACTCACAAAAAAGGCAAGATGCTAGAATACTCAAGGTTACAGTTTTCTTCACAATTCCATGGTGACTTGCTCTAATTACCAGAAATTCAAAATTGCTTATAGGCACAGACCAAAAGCCCCCACTTTAAGTAAGCTCATTAACTACAATCCATCCACCAGCACCAACACTACAAAACCCATTCCAACTTGAATCCACCAGAATCCAATTCGACCTCAAAATGGGTAAGGAGAAAGTTGACGAACACTCACCCAATAATGTCTCGATAAATCCTCTGCGGGGCGCCTCCTCCCTATCCCTGCCTGTATCCATCTGATGATGGCCGCCCAAGCTCAGCAGAGTCGCCGCGCGGATCTGATCCTCCGAATTCGACGCGCTGATCGCTAGAGCTAACTGAACCTGGAACTCCTCCTCCGACAACATGTAATCGGTACCATTACTTGCCGACACAGTCCACGCTGCTATAGCGTTCCCGGCGCTGGGCGGAACACTAGCCGGAGCAGGTGATGTCGTGGAGGGACTCCTCGGAGAGTTTCCGGACATGGGACATTGATCACACCGGTCAGTTAAATCGGTCGGATCGGAACCCGGTGACCTAAACGGGTCGGGTGAATACTTGTAACCGGTGGGGTGAGGAAGTTAAACCGTTTAAAACCGACAGAGACCGCTAAATCGTTCAACCGGACGGTTTAAACCTCTTGAAAAGATTCCCTCGTATTTGCCTTCTCCAGGTTTCGAACATAGGACTTCAAGAAGAATTTAAATTACTTTTACCACTAGGACGTCATTTAAGGTTTTGCATGTTTTGCATTAAATTTGATTTATTTTAATTTTGGGAAGAAAGAATAATATCCCTTACCGAGCCAAGTCAACTTTCCTCGACTAATATGGAGGGAAATATTATTGACTTTTATATTAAAATTAATATAAAATTTATTTAATTTATATTTTAAAA